CCCCCTGGGAGCCCAAAGCCTCATTTCGCAGTGGAAGGCTTTAACTCGGATCCAAGCTGCTTTGTTTCTGAGCAAACCAGAGACCTGAAATATTCATCAAAGGGGGCTGCAATTGGTCCGGGGCGCGTGTGGTTTGTAGTGACAGTTTTTCCTTTTAATGAATAGACTTGATTTTTCAGAGCAGTTTTAGGTTTACAGAAAATTGAGCAGACAGTGCGGGGAGCTCCTAATACCCGTTTCCCCGCACAGTCCCCGCTGTGAACGTCTTGCATTTTTGTGGGGCGTTGGTTACAGCTGATGAACCAGCAGAGATCTGGGGTTGTTAACACACGTCCACGGTTGACAGGAGGGTTCACTCTTGGTGTTGTACATTCTATGGGTTTTGACAGATGTATAATATCATGTCTCCACCGTGACAGTGTCATACAAGATGGCTTCACTGCCCTAAAAATCCCCTGGGCTCCACCTATTCATCCTTCCAACCCTGGGGAACTACCATGTTAGTGACACTTCCAGGCCTCTGGGTGAGTTCACACAGAGGACCAGACACAGGGAATGGATGTGAACTGCTGTGGAGAGGAGACACAGCTGGTGCCCACTGGGCCTGGGAGGGGGCTGCCAGCTTTCGGAGATGCTGGGGGGCGGAGGGGAGGAGAGGACACCCGTGGGGGCCCCGTGTTCCCCTGCCAGGCACGTGCGAAGGACCTGGAAACGACTTGCCACTAGATACACCCCCCTTGAGAGGGACCCAGAAGCACTCAGCATGCCCAGGCTGTGCATGCGGCAGACACGTGTCCTGGGGGGGACAGAGACAGGCATGACGGCCACGCGCTGCATCAGACTAGCTGGGGCACAGCTCCCAGCTCTTCGTAGTGGGGCCTTGGCCCTGGGCCACCACCTTCCTGAGCCTGGGTTTCTTCATCCAGAGCACAGAGCTAACGCTGTGTTTGGAGGTGAGACACTAAATGGGAGAGAAACAGGATAGCAAGGGCTGCAAGTGAGATCATCCTGGGCACCAGGCGGCGAGTCGACACACACTGGCCGTGACTTTGACTCCTGCTGCTGCCACTCCTGTTGCTACTAATTGTATTGTTGGAAGGGTTAGGAAGGTGTCTCAATGTAGAG